AACCATGTGGGAAAACTATGCCCTGGATCCAGTAGTCATGGAAACACTGCAGACCTTGTTTGTAGCAACTGAATCCTGATCATGGCATACTGTAACTGCCTCCCTGGGAGCATAATAACCTGGGATACAAGGTCCACAATTTGGATGACTTGAACATGTTATAGAGCTTCTAGGTTTGTTCCATGAAATCACAGAATAGCTGAGGTTGGCAGTGATCTTTGGGCATCATCTAGTCCAACCCTACTGCTCGTATCAGAGTCAACTAGAGAGCAGGTTCTTCATGGCTTCAAATATCAGGTTTCAAATATCTCCAATGATGGAGACAACACAGGCTTTCTGGGTAACATATTCCAGTGTTTGACCACTCACAATTAAGTCTCTTCTCACACTTCAATGCGTTCAGTTTGTACCTAATGTTTGTTGTCCTGCCATTGGGTGTTGTTGAGGAGAGTCTGCCTAGCTCTTCTACACCCTCCCATCATGTGTTCATACCTTACTCCTTGGTATGCCTGCTTTTGCAACTTGAGCTGGCACCAATCTATACAGAAGGAAAAATGATAATCCTTCCAGTGGTTCTTGCTGCAGAGCTATACTTTAACCTGGAAGACCTGTTGTTTTCGGAAGACCTAGAAGAAAGAGCAATTGGAAAAAGTTAGGATATTTTTCATCATGGGAAATTTGAGAGGAAAATAATGCTTCATTTCATTTGGACCAAAATCAAATAATTACAAAGAAATATTTAAAACCTCCAGTTAGCTCATAATCTTTACTGGCATTTTATCTGCACTGCCTAGACTGATCACATTTATACTTCTCTCCCCCTTGATGCATAATTTTACTTATTATTTTCTTAGACTAGTTGACTCCATTATTAAAGCACAGCTGAAAATTGTATCTGTAAAATCTAGATGTTCTTTGCAGTATCAGGAACTGCTGTCAGCCAAAAACTTATTACAATTACATATAATAATATAATAATATCTTTCAGTATTTTCTAAGTTTATTTGTCCATAACTCTCACCTTATAATCTTAACAAGTCAACAAGTGGAGTGTTAGAACATATCTTTTCCATTATTTGACACTTGTAGAAAGCCTTTCTTATAGTCACAGTTCCATTTGTCTTCAGCTTTGGTTTCCTGAAGAAGTTAATTGATTGTAATCTTTTTAAAAGGATTTTTCAGTTTCTGTCACTCAATAGGGAATCCACATCCCATATTGTAACCTCCCATGTCTCCTTGCAACTAAAATTGTTGGTAGGAATCAAAGAAAATTTTACTTCTTCAAGTATAGAAATCAAAACCAAGTAGAAGCATAATATAAGTACTGTTTAAGAGCAGAATACTGGTTATGCTATAAACTAATTGGGCTTGCATACTTACATAAAAATAAATACTCCACTAAAGCATAACTCATTGACCTTGAAACATCTTAGAGTTCAGTTTTTTAAAGTTTCTAGTTATATTTTAAGGTACAAGAAACTTAGGGGATAAAGACACTATTAAGAGTTTTAATTATAACACTTTTTTCAACAGTAAATAAATTTGATTGCAAAATTGTATTAATAATGATTCAAAAATGAGTTACAAAGCTTTCCACAAGAAATCAATGCCTGAATTTTTTGTAATATCTTGATTTTGGAAGTAGCCTTTATTTTTATAGTGAATTCTTTGGACACTTGTAATTGACACAAGAAATTTCATTTAAAGTGCAATTACTTCTACTGGAAACATTAATGTCATAAATATTGTCCTTTCTCTGGATGCTATAGACACTCATGTGCAGTCTTAAATGATTAAGTCTGACTTCTCAAAAGTTACAACCATTTTCAATAAAATTGCTTGTTTGTGGGAACTTTTATCGATAAAATGCACACATGCACTGAATGACAAATGCAGAATGGGATTTTTGAATGGAATAAGTTATAAGAGACAGCTGAGTTGTTTGGGGTTTTTAACTGTTATTTAGTTCTGGATTTTTCTTTTCTGATCAGTAGGATTGCAATGTCTGCCATTTCAATTCTAATACATTCATTAATTTTGGCTTGTTACTTAAGACCACATTAAGATTTATAGCTGCATTGCAAAGTGGCTATGCTAATTCAGACCTTAGCCAAATTTTGTATTTGAATGTTGATCAGTATGATGTTATATTTTCATTTTGCTGCTTTCCTTTCCATTTAATTTTTTTGGATATCACTTGAAGTCATAGATGCTTAACTCCCAAAACTGTAGTGAACTCTTAGCGTTCAGAAGGTTTTGATTTGGTGCTGAAAGCATTTGTGTTTATAGAATATAATTTATAACAGAACACATTTATTTACATTTTTAATGAATATTTATCAATTTATTTTCAAATTTGGGATATGTTTACTGCAATTACTTTGGGCCAGTACTAATAACTCTACCATATGCCTCTATATTACTGAACCAGGTGGCTGGCAATCATGTCTCCAGATGAGCAGTGGTTCAGTGACAGCAACAAAAAAACCTTCTTATTATGTGCATGCATTGATATAAACAATCCGTTTTCTTCTTTGACTTGCTTATTTCTGAATACCATTTTAGTATCAAACATCCTATTTTCAGACGATCGTTCACTATTGGATAAGTAGAATTTTTTAATATATGATTGACAGGTAGATATTATAAATAAAGAACATCAATATTAGCATTATCCTCTCTGCAGTTCTGGTTGAGTTGCTAATGTACATCTCTTGCAAGAGTACTTGGCCTAGTAGATGCTATATTATGTATTTCCCTAAACTTACAGGTAGTCTGAGCAAACCTATTTCCAGAAACTACTTTTTCCTATCAATTATTTTGTAGAGAGAAAATTTTTTCCTAATATTAATCGATTGATGACTGTACTTCACTTATACAATTTTTTTCATTCCAACATATATTTTCTTTCCTTAGACTCCTAAAAATTTTTACAGTCAGTAGTAGAGTCAGTCTAAGATTTTCAAAGATTTTTCTTCAGTGTAATCTCTGACTTTATAAGTACTAAACTTTCACTCACAATACTCAACTACAAAGAAAGTGGCAAGGTAGCTTTCAGTGGTTTTTGGTTTGTCTGTTTGTTATAACTTCTGAGTTGCTTTAAGATATTAGTGTGTCTTTTTTTTGCATATCCAATAAATATTGTATATAGTGTGAATTTCTAATACATATGTTGTCCTAAGTGCCTCAAAAAGACCCAAATCCAACATTTGAATCCTTTCATTGGAAGCTTCATACTCTAAGTCAAAGAATATGGAGTTATTTTTCTCAAAGTTGAGAAGATAAAGTTACACAGTGATAAATTTACCTAAGCTGGTTTGTTATTTTTTTTATACAGACATACATACAGAGAGAGATATTTTCAAGAACACGGAGAGTTCTTAATGCAACTTCATGCAGAAAGAATCATAGTTTCATTTCAGTCGTAAATCTTGAACTTATATATAACCAATTGTTCTAGAGGGGAAATCTTTCTTTTACGAATAAGCTTGAATTAGTACTGGTACATGTACAGGCTTTTTTTGAGACACTCCTATACTGGTTTTGTTTTGGCTTTGTCTTCACTTAGAAACTTGGAATTTATACATTATCTCTTACATGTTCTTTACAAGTTTTGAGACCTTTTTCTAAAGCTGTGTCTTGCTATGCACACCAAAAATCCTAACAAGACTTTAAATGTCAAACTAGAGCACTTGGTCACAGAGAACAGGATAGACTGACTGTAGTCCTAGACCATTCAGTAAATTTTTTTATAGCACTTCTCTTCATGGATTTTGTTCTATTGTTTGCATGTATATATTTGTCTCATAAAAAAAAAAAATTCTGAAGTGACATTTCCTCTAAAAATTCTATTTACAGGAATAGTTTTGATATATATTTAGTAATACATTTTTATATCTATTAAAAATTCAGGTTTGTCAGTATAAAGAGTACCCAAAAGAAAAATGAAAACCTGATGTATCCTATCACTGGGGGTAGCAGCCTGAGCCATAATATTTCAGCTAAACATTTTTGCTTGATTTGAGCTGATAGAAAATAAATACATTTCTCCCTGAATGACTTGTCATCTTATGGAATGAGATTGTTTTATGCATTATGCCCCTATTTTTCAATAGAAATAGTTTTCAAATCCTGCAATTAAGAAAACATTTATTAAAGAGAAGACAGTGTTTCATGGGTTCTGTATGGTTGTATATATAATATGTTTGCATGACATATTTAACTTAAGGTGCCTTGTTTTACTGGAAAGGCAATTACTAATAGATGAGAAGCGATTAAGGGTAGCTTAATTCATAACTTTCTGTGATTACTTTGTGATTCCACGATCTAGGTCCTTCCCTGCTATAGAACAAAAGCATTTTTTGTTCACAAAACCAACTTCAAATTTCACTTCTTTTCTTGAAAAGAGAGTAAAAATTGGCAATTTGCCAAGAAATAACTAGAAGATTTTTAAAGGTCTCTTCCAACCTAAACCATTCATAATTCAGAACCATAATTCCATCATTCTCTTATCATTCAAAATGCAAAATCAAAACATGCAAGTGTTTGCAAGTGTCATCTAGACCACTAAAACACTTCATTACATAGACAAGAAACCAGTAATAATATACAACTATTGTTCTTCTCTATTCTAGTTAGAAAACCAGATCATTTAAATTTTGCCTTGTGCTTTTGCATATGGAAATGTCACTGCTCCACTGAGACAATGAGCCTATGTGTATGAATTCTCCCAGAACAGTCACCACATGTAAGGAATGCAAATTGTATAGTTCTATCCCTAGAATATCCGTTTACTCTCTGAAAAGTTTTTGTCCTCATGAATTACTCATTCACAGTGTGTGGATCAACCCATGTTAACATCAGATAAGGAATGTTATCCTGACCAAGTTTAGTTATTTTGTACACAATAAAATGATTTTGTAATGTGAACCATTGTGTAAAAAGAAAGAGGGGGGGAAAGTATGTTGAAAGATTTACATAAATTTCTTTTTTTTCTACAGATTCTTTTTAGTGAAACAGCTGCAGCTTGAATTTCATTGTGTGACCTTGACGCTTACTGTCAAGCCCTTCAAAGAGCTGTTAGATTTGGCAAGATTAAAAGGTAAGAGAAAAATGAAACATTAAAGCAAATCACTGTAAGAAAACCTCTGTATTTAGTAGACATTATTATTATTAATTATTATTATATGTATTTATTAATATTATTAATATTATGCATTATTAATATTAAGTATTAATATTATGAAGACTGACATCTTCAATGGGAGGGGCTCTGAAATCTCTTTTAAAATATATTGCTTTGCTTAATTTGTTCGTAGTAGTCTCTAAGTCATAAGTTAAAGAAAACCCAAACAACAAAACACCTACATAGAGGAAGTAGAGAGTTGGAATAGCAAATAAATTGTTCTCTTTATAACTTGGTATCACTAAAGCAAGAATTCAAGTTTTCAAATCTAAGTGTGATGGGATGGCAAATGAAAAGAGGTCTAAAAAATCTGCTTCATTTGTGGATTTACAACTTAAGCAAATATAGTTCTCTGAATTTTTTCCTTGTTTTGGGATCTTAGTTGTTTGTTTGTTTGTTTGTTTGTTTTTTCCTAAAGCAGAAAACAAAACCTGGGCAACCTTAGCTGAAATTATCAAGTGAAATAGAAAGAGTTAATTAAGCACAAGGGCAACAAAGCTGTCTTGTCAAAACAAGGTCATTTACATGATGCTGAATGTCTTATGTGAAATAAGCCTCAGTAAAACCAGTTTCAGTATACCTATTTTACTATTTTGCTAGACAGGTTAGAGAAAGCATATCTATTTAATCATTCCTTTACACTAAATATAATATGCAAAATGCTTGCTTAAAAAATTAATTTAACTGAATTAAATGAATACTATGTAAATCAACATTTCTTTTATCTCTAAGAGAGACATTTTTCATCCTTTACATATTTTTGGGTCAGATAATGCCTCAAGGAGAAAGAAAGTTATGAATATTTTAAAAATTACCCTTTTTGCTTCTGATGATTGCAGTAAGAAGAGCTTTCAGTGCTGGTTACATATTCCAGGGATTATTACTTATTAAGTGAAGATTTTCTCTTGTACTGGATCCCCAGTACAAGAAAGTCATGGACATTTTCAAGAGGGTCTGGAACTCCTGTCCTATGAAGACAGGCTAAGAGAGTTGGGATTGTTCTGCCTGTAGAAGAAAAGCCTTAAGGGGGACCTTATCACAGCCTTTCAATATAGAGAGGGAGGATTATAAGAAAGGTGCAGAAAGAATTTAACCAGCTCCTGTACTGATAAGACAAGGGAAAATATTTTTCACTGAAAGAGGGTAGGTTTAGTTTGGGCATACTAAAGAAATTTTTTATGATGAGGGTAATGAGACACTGAAACAGGTTGCCCAGAGAAGTTGTAGATGTCCTATCCCTGGAAGTGGAGGAGGATTTAAGCAATGAGATCTAGTGAAAGATGTCCCTGCCCATGGCAGGTGGGTTGGACTAGAAGGTCTCTTAAGGTGCCTTCCAATCCAAACTCTTCTATAATTCTATTGTGTGTCTGTAATAAATACTTTTTGGAAACAGAATTCATACTTGGAACTTAAGGGAATGTGACCAAAGAAGCTGTTGTCTGAGTCTCATAAACAAAGTGAAAATCATCATAATGAAACACTAAAACTTGAAAAATAAAAGTGCTAATTGTGCATTAATATTAACATCAAGAAATTGAAAGTCAGAAAAGTCTCTGGAGAAAAAAACCTTACCCCTACTGTACCAAAGTATTAGCAAATTGTAACCACAGGTCTAATATTATGATGATGCTAGTTATTCCATCCAGATTACTGTAAATTAATTATTGCACTATACCTTTATACCTTTTTGAAGCACATGTTAATAACTTCTGTGAAAACTGTACCCATAAGCTAAAAAGATGTCATTACATACATTTGTGGTTCAGATAAAGAGAATAAGTTAAAATGTGAAAAATAATTTAGTGCATGAAGAAAAGGTGAGGATCACTTAGGAACCAAGCATAGATTTAGTTTTATTAGGTATCATTAGTTATTCAGCTTCTAGTGGTTGTGGCCACCAACGCAGGGACTTTTCTAATGAGGTGATCGAGACGTGTTTCTGCTCTGTATTACTTTTCCGAAACCTTTCCTATCTCATTCTTCAGATGACAGCATTTGTAAATACATTCTTAGTATTGTTAAAAATTTATTTTCTCCAGTAATTGAATTTAAAAAGTCTCTGTCAGCAGTCTACTGACAAGCAGTTGTTTCTAGTCCATTGAATTTCACTTACACTTGATTTACTATTAGTGTATGAATAAAATTAAAAAAAAAAAGTGATTATAATTCAGCAGAGAAAACAATTTTCCTGACATAATTGTCAGTATAAGAATATTTTGGTAATATCAGTCTGGTACTTCGTTGTAAGGAACATGAAACATACTTATTCAGGTGAGGGATTTTGCTATTCAATCTTTGTACCTGACGAAACTAATTCCAATTCATGCTCTCTCTGGTCACAAGAAAAAACATGACAAGGGTTTGTAACTTTGAATCATGCAGTTTTCTTAGTCTCTGACTATACATGATCTGTTTTATGTATCTGATGGTATTGCATTGCACTGTATTTTGCATAAAATAATATATCTATTGTAAAAATAAATTCGTCTTGTTTGTTGAGTTCTGGAGTTAAATTCTTAACAAAGAGGATTTGATGTATGAAATCACTTTCTACTTTCTATTTTGATAGGCTTATATACAGTTGCTAATAAAATCATTGACACCTATATTCGTCTATTATTGTATACATAGAAAGGAAGATATACAAAGCAAAAGTGTGCAACATATTTTACTCGATTGACTATAAACTCTCTGATGCATTTCAGGAGGGGAAAATAGTGTTTCTTGATGTATTTCAGGAATAAATCCTTTATATCTGGTTAAAATGCAGATGACCATCATAGACTATTGCAATCTGAAAAGGTTCATCTCCTGATACAGTCTTTCATCTGGTTCAGGTGTAGAGCTTAGAGGGAATTTGCTACAGTTACTGAATACAGTTTGGGTGCAGATGCAATCTCCCAACCTAAAACTCCTTATGTAAAAGAAAACTCCTTTTTAATACTTCTGATAATATCTGCTATTTAAAAAAATTCTGCAACTTAATAATAAAATTTTAATGCTAATAAATTATGGAAATACTGTAAAAAATCTGCATAAGAACAAATGGAAAATCTGAATTATTATGAGATCAGTATCTAATCTCGTTTCAAATCTTAAAGTACTAGTAGTGTTAATTCAGTAGTTTTTAGTTCTTAGGTTGTTTACTTAATATATAAGGAGACATATAATAAGCCAGAACTCAGTGAAAATTGTTTAAAGACTTATTTCTCTGTGTTTTGTAGATCATCTTTAGATTTTAACAATTGCGAACTAGGATGTTGTATTATGGAATTGTCTTACAAGATTTTTTCATGGAAGTGAAATGATCCTAAAATCTCTTATTTCTGAACATGGTTCTTTGGCTGTAAGAATCTGAGAGTAGTTTGTAGAGACTTCATCCCATTAGAACAACCAATAAATGTGAACTTTACCATAGCAACACTTACAAATTACTAGGGGGGCAAACATGTCTTGGAGTAATGATCACTAGACAAAAGAGACTAAATATTATTAAAAATGTATCAGAGAGAAAAAGAAATGTTATCAAAAATATATTTCCTAATTAACAAATGTTGACTAAAGAGAGAAATAGTTACTTTTAATATGTATATATTTATATATTTATATTCACTGGTAGTAAGAATAAGAAATTTGCTCTTTCAGTAAAATATTGTACACAGTTTCTGCAAAACAAATTGTCTGCTTTGATAGCTGGCATGAAATGCAGGAAACAGCAATGGTTTGACATTGAGAAATTAAGCTCAGTTATTTAGTGGCAGGAAACTGCACTCAATGAGCAGAGGAAAATACATCTAACACTCAGCTTGCAAAGAACAGTATTACTCTGTACAAATAGTTGCCTATCAACAGGAGCTTTCTTTATAACTTTTGTTATGGAAAAAAGTTATTGCATATTCAATTCACTCTCAGTTGATTTTTTGATAGGCTGAATGTCATCCTACGGTAAAATAATTTCCAGAAAAAAAATATTTTTAAAAAGAATATCTGAATAAGCCCAAATCTGCAAGTTGTGGGGTTTTTTTCTATTTTTTTTTTTTTATCCCTGGAGTTACATGGTCATGCTTATGGTATGCTCAAGTACTCTTCTTGCTAGAGTACTACACCCTTGAACACTAGAATTTCATATCTTAGACTGCCAGACTGAAGAGGTAATGGAAAAACTGACAGTAGACAAAGGCAGTAACAGAAACATTCCTAAGGATGAAAAAAGTTAAAGACTAAATGATCAGAGAAACTTGGTTTTTTAGAGTGTATTTCTTAGAGAGTATGTGTATAGATACTCCTATTGCAGATAGTAACTAAAAACTAATACCTCTCCAAGAGGAGAGAACATCAAGGGAAAATATCTATGTAGAAGAAAAAAAAAAATCTAGAAAGTAGATTATGATTGTTTTTCTTCTTCAAAAATGCAGAGAATAGGGTAGTGCTATTAATTTCTGTGACTATGAAAAAGAATAGGATCTTCCTGGCCTTTAACTATTGCATATGGGTGAATTGGCAGATTGTACAATTAGTTTAATGGCTGACACTGTGCTGGAAATTACAAAGGCAGGGTGAAATGTAATGGGTAAATTGTAACTGAATAATTTCTGATATATTAGAAGGGTTTTTGCCTAAATAAGGCTAAGTTTACTAAATCCTGAATGTGGTAAAATAACTACCAGCATAATTGTCTAACAGCAATTTTTTCAGCTTTCTAGTCTGAAAAAGAAACATTCTGTCTTCGGTTTGCATCTCCATAATTGTGACAAATTTGGTTCCCTGTTCTGTCTTTTAATATTTTTTCGCTCATTTTTAATATTCTGTTGCTGTTACAGTTGACTGTGTACTCTCAGATTCTATAAGCCAGGCTGGAATTCTGTGGAACTGTGTATTTCCTAGTCCATTATGTGGAGCTGTACAAAGAGGGAAGA